GGCCAGAAACAGACTCTCATCACCAAGAGATCCACAAGCTCTGAGGTCAGGTGGTAACTAGGAAGGAGTCAGAGCAGGATACACAGACACACACAGACACCCTCCACCCCCAGGGAGAGAAAAGATCACAACACGACACATACACACTAGGGAGAGAAAAAAAGATCAAGAAAGAAAGAGAAAACTCTCAAACATTACACCATTTGGGCTGGGAATGTGGCCCCGTGAGTGCTTACCTAGCACACGACCCAGGGCTCCATCTTCAGCACCCAATAAACCTGCATGGTGGCATACAAGGTACTAGCAGGAGGACAAGTTCAAAGTCATTCTTAGCTACAAAATGTATTCAAAGCTAGCCTGGACTACATGAAAGCCTGTGTCAAAAGGTATGTGTATGTAGCAGACATAATCTTAGCATGCAGGAGCCAAGACAGTATCACAAGTTCAAGACCATAAACAGGCAATATCCTGACTTCAAAAAACAAAAAATAAAAATAAAAATACCTACAGTGAGCATGGGCACATTTGTCCTTGCCCTTATGCCCTGACAGTACAGAAGACCTGCACACTCCTTAAGTGAAGATCACAACAGCTGTAGAAGGGACTTGAAAATGCTTGTTTTTCTTCATCCTCGGGGGTGCTAGAACCAGTCCTCAGGATACCAAGCGACAAAGTGATGCTTCTGAGAGACCTAAAGATTCTGGTACTGTGTTTTGACAGCAACCCCAAAATGACCTTCCCCAAGGCCCTCATAACCAGAGTTCCACCCACCATCTACACATGCACACATGGGTCAGATTCTGGCAGGGTCCTCCAGCTCCAGAGGCTGCCTGATGCCAAGCGTACTTCCTTCCCTACCTGACTTGACGGACCGGGACTCCCAAACCCCAGTCCAGGGGCAAGAGGATTCAGAAGGTACCAGGAGGGTACCCCAGGGCTGCCTGCAAAATGACAGAAGCTCTGCCTGCAGTGAAAGCTATGCACAGCTTCCAACCTATTTCCAGTGCTTTTCTTTCTTGCAAGCAAGGCTGGGAGAGGCTAAAAACAAGGAACAGTGGCCCTGTGCCTTTCCAGTACAATGGTTATGCCAGGACCCCCAAGGACTTAAAAATAACCTGCCCTAGATAGTTACACATTAGGCAAATCAATAGGTAAGAGTGTCATCATCCCTGGTATAAAGTTCACACATCCCTAGGGAAGCTACAAACTCATGCTGTGTCCTGCCAGCCTGTCAACATCGGCTCCCACAAGAAGGCTGGGCTCTAGGCGGTGTCTGCTCTCTCAACAGGGCTCAGAGTAAGGACTGGGACAAGGGGATAGGCCAGGGATGAAGACAATCCCAAACCGGTGGTCCGAGTACTGCAGGATGCTGGCCAACCGCCATCCATCTGGCAGGGCATTAATACTCAAGAGGATATTAGTAGTCATCCAATCAATAAAAGGAAAATAAAAAGACGATTTCTCAAAAGAAATACAAATGGCCAAGAAAAACAAAATATAGGTCAGATTTGGTGATCACACCTTTAACCCCAGCGCTCAACAGACAGGGGCAAGAGGAGCTCTGAGTCTGAGGCCAGCCAGCTGGGCTACACAGAGAATTCCAGGCCAGTAAGAGCTTCACAATGAAAACCTGGCTCAAAAAGAAAACCAGATGTGGTCGGCATAACTTTAATCCCAGCACTCTGAAGGCAGAGGCAGGGATTTCTGTGAGTTCAAGGCCAACCTGGTCTACAAAATGAGCTCCAGGTCAACCAGGGCTAGACAGAGAAACCCTGTCTCAAAATACAAAGACAGACAGACAGACAGACAGAAAAAGCAAGCATGTCAGGGTAGACCCTTCCTGCCTTCATGGCTGTTCCAGGCCAAGTGTACTCCCCAACGTCATGACGGGCAGGGGGCACAGGAGCATGATACTTCAGGCAGCAAACAGGGACACAGACTTCCCTTTATCTAATGATTTATAACCGGAGACTTGGCTGCAGTCAGGAAGAATGCCCAGTACCTCCCTCCCTCAGCCCCAGGCACTGGCATTCTGAGAAAAGTCAAGGTAAAATAACCAAGCTGAGGACAGGCCAGGTGGTCCCAAAAGGCCATGTCCTTTACAATCACATGTCCACTCCCTCAGTCTATCACCACCAAGGGTGACCTGAACTCTGCCACTTGACAGCTATGAGCATGAAGTTTCACTATTCTGTGCTTTAATTTCCCCATATGTCAAGTGGGGATAAGTACCATACCTGCTTCATATAAGTGATAGGGCTAGACCACAGCAGTACTGGCAGAAGGACCGGAGTGAAGGACAGTGGAAGAGCAGGCTTAGCATGCTCCAGCCCCTGGGCTCCTCCCCAGTTCCAGAAGATAGTGGTGCCAGTCTTTAATCCAGAACTCAAGAGGAAGGACAGAGCTCCAGGAGTTCAAGGTCAGACTGGTCTATACAAGGAGTTCCAGCTAGGTAGGGCTGCACAGGAGACCTTGTCTGTTAAAAAGGGGGGAGAGCACAAAAGAGAAACTAAAGGCACTGAGCACATGTACCATGTAAGCACGGCTTTACAATGATTATGATGGCCAGCTAACACTCTCACAGCTGGAGTGAGCATCCCCAACTGTTAAAATATTCTCATCTGTCACTATCAATAGCACCATGAGGTGTTAAGACCTGAACTTGACCAACCAGCTTTCCTACCCAGCCCTGTCAAAGGGCAGGAGTCCCAACCAAAGCCAACAATGTTATCAGAACTAGAAGTCTGTTCTGGAGCAGCTCTGCGCAGTGGCCGGTGTGTCCAAGCCACTTGCTCCTCTCTCTCTACTCAGGAGTCAGTGAAGCAAGGTTCTGCTGGGCTCTGGGGGCCTCTAAGTTGCCCACAGCAAAGCTGAGCTAACAACTGCACATCACGGCCATCAGCTCAGCTCCTCCCAGAGTCCTTCGGTCTCCCCACCTTCTCCACTGTGACTCAACCTCCTCCATATACATCCATCCACCTTCTCTTCAAGTCTCTTCTGCTCTGCCTGACCCAAAGCACTGAGGTACAAGTGCTGGGCAATGCCAGGTACTGAGCTAAGTAGACACTGTGCACCTAACGCTCGCCAGAGCACAGACACTTGGAAGGGACGACCATAGTAGAGATGGTTATCCCTGGGATAACCTCATCAAGATGCAATCAGGGCAGGCAAGGGGGTAGGGACCTGACTGCAGTACCAGCCCCTTTTCAAGGCATGAACATCCCCTCAGTGGCCAATTAAGCTGCCAACCTGATGTCCCTGAAAATGCAATAAGGGCCAATACACACTCTTTCAACCCATTATGTCATTTCAGGATAAGAAGGCTAGAGGTTAAAACATTTGCCCATGAGGACTAGCTAGTTAGCTAGGTTAAGAGCACCGGCTGCTCTTCCAGAGGACCTTTGTTCAATTCCCAGCACCCACATGTCAGCTCACAACTGTCTGTAACTCCAATTGCAGGGAATCGGATGCCCACCAACTTCTGGCCTCCAAAGACATCAGACACTCATGTGGTACAAAGATATATACAGGCAGGCATAACACCCATACCCATACACATAAAATAAAAATAAAATTATGCGCCCATGGGCTCACCCCTGCCAGAGGCGGAGAAAGACCTCAGTCCAGCTCTGCTGCAAAGCCTGAAAGTCTTGCTGTCTTCCCAGGACAGAGAATCAGCACAGATACAGCTAACCCAAGTCAGGGACTGATCCAGGGAAAGCCCGGGCCCAGGTTCAGTTCCTACCTGTGCAGTACAAGTGTTCATGCTGCCATCACCTGCCCGACTATGCTGAGCAGAGGACCATCTTAAGGATTCTGCAGGGAAGATGTGTAAACTGAACCACTCCCTGCCCAGGGCATGAGCCACACCTGTGATCACGGTCCAAGGCCTGCTAATTAGGAAAGGTGTGAAAGGCTCGTAGCAGCTGGACCTAACAGCACACACCTGCACCAGCACAGAAAAGAAACCTAAAAAGAAGTGTGCCAGGCGGAGAGGTTCATGACTTTAATCCTGGCACCTGAAAGGCAGAGGCAGGCTGATCTCTTGTGAACTCCAGGCCAGGGCTGCCTAAAAACAGTATCTCAAAAAAACGAAAACAAAAACAGACAAAAACAAGAACCTAGACGCAGCACACACACCCTCTCCTGAACGCACAGCCTGGACGGTATTCCTAGCCTCGTCATGCTGCTCACTAACACTCGTGGTTCTTTCACAGCCAAGCACGTTTGGTCCCAAGGAGCAAGCACAGACAAGCTGAGAGGTTAGCCAATCCACGGAGGCAAGTCACTGTTGCATCAAAGGGCCACGCCAGAGCCCAGCCTCAGGGCTGCCTCCGTGTGTGCACACAGGTCTACTTTCCCTTCACCTGTCACCCACCAGCTTTCTGCCTCAGAACAATTGCCTCAGAGCACCAAGTATGGTGACACACGCCTGCAATGCCAACAACCAAGGCCGGGTCAGGAAAAACACAAATTCATGTCAGCCTAGGTTACACAGTGAGACCCTGGTAAAGAACCCAAGGGGCAGGTAGAGCTCTGAGTTTGAAGTTAGCCTGATCTAAGCAGCAAGCTGCAGGTCAGCCAGGGCTACACACTGAGACTCTACATCAAAAAAAGATGGCAGGGAGGGAAGGAAGAAGGGAGGGAGGGAGGGAGGGAAAAGGGAAGGAAAAGAAAAGAGAAAAGAAATAGGAGAGCCAGAGTGACAGACAGTGGTTTATAGGCATTTGCTGAGTTTGGATCGCAGAACCCACAAACACCACATGCCTGTGCCCCAAGCTGTGGTGGACAGAGATGCAGTCCTGGGTATTGCTGGCCTCCAGCCTAGCTCCAGGTTCAGGAAATGACCCTGCTTCAAAACTCAGGCCAATAATAATAAAATGCACCAGCACCTTCCCTCTGGCCTCTGAACAGGTCCATGAACACACAAGTGCATGTGTGGCATATACAGACAAACAAACAATGATAATAATAATAATTGTTTTAATTTTGAAATTAAGGGCTAAGATCTGGCACGGTGGTAGAGCACTTGTTCAGCACATATGTGGAAGGCCCTGGGTTCCGATGTCTAACATTAAAAACGATAAGTTTTTTAAATGCCTCTTGACTTTGAGAATTTTCATACTAAATCCCTGGAGGGAGCCAGCCAAGCAGAAACCTGCCTGAGGCAAGGTAATAAATTGGTCCAGAATGATCTGTAAGATGGGTACCTTTATAGCCAGTATGGTGATTCACACCATTCCATGAGCTTGAGGTCAGAGGCTCTACCTACAAGGACAGACTCTCATGAGATTCACAGGCAGATTTACAAGGCATAGTAGCCAGCTTCGGCTACCACAGGGATCATCTCCAATGTCATCTCCACTGGAAAAACACTAATAAAAAAAAAAAAAGACTTGCGCCTAGGACAAGCAGCTCGCATACCAACCCTGCTGATTTACACCAAGCCCACATCTAACCTGTTCTAGAAGTTTCACCTCAGCTAGGCCTAGGCTATGGAAGGGATTCTCTTTCCTGCTAAATAAGCTATGAACCGAGCTGATAGGAAACTTATCAAAAAGCTACAGTATCTCCTCCAGGTAGAATCCTGTCCACTGTGCCTTGGATCTTCACTGTTGTCACTAACTGACCGTAAACTTTTCTGAGCATGACCATTGTTTAGGGTTGCTGACCTGCATGCACATTATGTGCACCTGGTTTATGCAATGTCCAGAGGACAGAGGAGGGTGCTGGAGCCCTAGAACTGGTGGTACAGATGGGTTAGACACGTGGTGTTGGGAACTGAACCTGGACCTTCTGGAAGAGCTCTTAACCTCTGATCCATCTTTCCAGCCCCTCAGGCTGGAGGTGCAGCTGAGTGCAAGATCCTGGGTTCCATCTCAGCATCATCAAGTCCAAAACAGTCAGTGTGCATCATAGTATCCCAAATGTCTGTCTATGGACAAAAAGTCTTTTAATTCAAGGTATCCTAGAAAGTCGGTTCTCTCCTGCCACCTTGTGGGGTGCAGAGATCAAACTCAAACAGGCCTTCAAAAAACCATCTCTACCAGATGAGCCATCTTACTGTGTCCAAGAAAGTCTTTTGAGAGAGGGAGGCCTTCCCGAGGACTGCCTTCCCGAGGCTGCCTGCGGGTAAAGGATGGACTCAGTCCTTCAAAAGATCTATCATTTTGCTTTTTTAAATTACATTTTTAGCTAAGCATGGTAGCATACGCTTTTAAGCCCAGCTCCTGGAGAGACAGGCGGATCTTTGAATTCAAGCCTAGCCTGGTCTACAGGACTAGGGTTACAGAGAAAACCTGTCTCAAAAAAAAAAAAAATTCTGTTACAACCACGTGTGAGAAGTCAGAGAACAACTGGTAGGTGTTGTTACCATCTTACCAGGGAGGCCTGGAACTCACTGTGTAGCCAAGGATGACTCTGAACTTCTAATCCCAATGCCTTCCCCTCCAAGCATGAGCCACCATGCCTGGTTTCTGCAGTACTAGAGATGGAGCCCAGGGCCTCCTGCATGTCAGTCAAACACTCCAGAAATCTGTTCTTCAGTGTGGGTATCTGACACTTTTCCCCCAAGATCTTAACTGTGAAAGGATAGCTTCCATTTTTATTGGTCTGCACCAAGAGTTCTGAAAACTGGGCTAGAAGATGGTAGATGCTCCCATCCCGGAACGACGGTCTCAGTGGGTACTGGGCAAGTGTCAATAGGGAATAACAAAATACTGCGAAATAACTTTTCCCTCCAAGGTCACCTTGGCTTTCTTTTTGCTTGGGGGTTTTGTTACGTTGTTTGTTTGTCTATTCTGTTTGGTTTGGATTTTTGAGACAGGATTTTCTAGCCCAAGTTGGCATCAAAGTCACTATGTAGTTGAAGAGAACCTTCAACACCTGATCCTCTGCCTCCATCTCCCACAGAGCTAGAACTAAGGGCATGTGCCAGCTTGCCTGACTTTATTCCGTGTCAGGGATTCAATCACATAAGGAAAAGTCTCTACCAAATGAAATGCAACCCTATTCCCCAGTTTGGTGCTTATCTGCCTTTGTTGTGCAATGCTGAGGTGGAACCCAGAACTTCATGCATGCATGTGAAACAAGGGCTCCAACGCTGGGCTACCACCAGCCCATCCTAGGGCACGCTGAGAAACAAGGCAAAGGAAAGACTGAAGAACACTGGAGCATATTTCCAGGCCAAACCAGGAGTCCCAGGCTGTGCTCAGGTTCCTAGAGCCAAAGCACCCATCTCCATGATCCTCAAAACCTACCTGGCCTGATTTTCAAGGAGCAAATTAAAATGACTGACTGCAAATTCCATCTTCTACCTGTGCTCTTCAAACTGAACACAGCTTCTGCCCCAGGGCAAGGGACTAGGTGTGAAAGGGAAAGCACACCAGGGGGAAACAAAAACAAGAAACTTTCTTTTGAAAGCAGAGTTGGGGGCGGGGCATAAGGATTACAGACTCCCACCTCCTGGCTCCTGTCACCTGTTAAAATGATAGAGGTCTTCTAGACTAAAGGTGTCAAAGGACCTGAGGAAATTTAAAATAATTATAATCGTTTTATAATATTATTACACTTGTTACATATAAAAATAATCAAAATAGAGATGACTAGAAGTAGTGGTATTCAATTTGTTATAAAAATAAATTATCTCCCATATATTGGAGATTCCTAAAGTATTTCAATTTCCAGAGACAAGAGGTGGCTGCCAGGGACTGGGAAAATGGGAAATGGGGAGATACTCTATGAGTTTAGAATTTCAGTTTTACAAGATAAAAAAAAAAGTTTAAGAGGCTTGTGTAGCAGGTGCAAGGCCCTGAGCTCCATCCCTAGCAATACAAGGAGAACTGCAGAGATGGGGTAGGGGAACAACACACAACCTATTGGATAGTGGTGAAATTTGAACAATATGTAGACTTAATAATGCTGAGTTGTACAGTAAAATGGCTACCGAAGAAAATGAGCAAGTTTCATCACAAATTTAAAATGTGGGGAGAAAGACAAGCAATCTCTCAATTTGCTAACTCTCATTTACAGAACTGCATGTCTAGTGGTTAGGAACTATACTTTTTTTTTTTTTTTTTTTTTTTAAATATTTATTTATTATGTATACAACATTCTGTCTGTGTGTAAATTTGCAGGCCAGAAGAGGGCACCAGACCCCATTACAGATGGTTGTGAGCCACCATGTGGTTGCCGGGAATTGAACTCAGGACCTTTGGAAAAGCAGGCAATGCTCTTAACCACTGAGTCATCTCTCCAGCGACCCGGAACTATACCTTTGAAATCTTCGTTCCCTCTCTCTGTTTTGCAGATACTAGTTGGGATCTTTCGACAGCTCACCTGACAGCTCTAACTTTCACCTATATTCCCAGTAAGAGATTAAGTAAGCACCCAATCTCAGTAGGACAAAACAGAATCGTAGTAAAACGGTAGTTAGCCCTTACTAACGCATTCTTCCTATGAATGTGAGCAATCGGTTACTGTTTTATGATAGTTACTTAAAAGTCAGCAATAACGAAACTAATATCAGTTTGATCGAAAAGAGAATCCCAAGACTTTGTTTTAAGAGGAAAAGGGACCCAAGACTTAGAGTCAGAAGACTTAAGCTTCCAGAATGATCTTGCGCTTTCAGACTTCTTCCCTAGCGGTCACCGGCTGCCGTAACCAACTCCCTCGCCACCCAGGCATCTAGAGCGAAGAGTGGGTGCGAAGGTCAGAAGAGGCAGCCAGTTGCAGAGCCCCTTCCTGAGCCCCATGCGCTGACGCCGTGCAAGGATTGTGCAAGAGACTCGCTCGCACCAAGAACAAGAGCTCCGCACTGCACTTCCGAACACCTGCCACGCAGGCCACCGAGGATGCTGCAAGGAAGCTGCAAGCATCTCCTGGTCCTGCAAGACCCTAAGAAAAGGTAGCCCCCAAAACGCCGGGGTAGCAAAAATACCTTCCTGCACATGCGCAATGAGATTTACCAGCAGGCCCCGGGCACACTGCGCCTGCGCCATCGGCGAGGAGCCGGGCCGTACTAGAGGGTCCCGAGGCCCTGAAGGAGACTGTGCGGTCTGCGGCAGTCACGGTCCGGGCCCCGCGCCGCTTACCTCGTAGTGCTTCATGGCTCCTCCACAGGATGGCGCCGCTCCGCTGCAGCTCAGGTGCCGCCCCGCCGCACGAAACACTGCCCAAGCACACACGCCGGGAGACGCGCTCCACTAACTTCGGCTCCGCCCCTCCCTACGCGCGCGTCCCGCCGCCAATCAGCGTGGGGTGCACCCACAGCTCTCGCCACACGACTAACCAATCAGCGTCCGAGACTCAACGCGGGGCGGGGGAGGGAGGGAAATGCTTTACTCTCCCCTCCCATCCAGGCAGGCAAGATTAAAGCAGGGTCACTAACCAATCAAAAGAGAGCCTCGGCGCAACGCGCCGTCTGGCCCCGCCCCTTGCAGAGCCGCTGTAGAAATCCAGCGAAGCCAGGTTTATTTAGGTCAGTGCACCAGAACCGGAGCAAAGCGCTGAGATTACGCTGAGAGTTGAGATTACGAGGCGGGCAGCGCTTCGGGGTGAGTTCTAACGTGCAGAGAGGCTGAGACGCCTAAGACATGAAACCTCTGATATTACCACCAGGACCCTTGAAAAGACTCCGTATACCATGAGTTGGGGAAGGAAAAGAAAGCCTGCACCGCCTTCTGCAGTGTCTTCGCTGCTCCTTCCTAAGACACCCCCGGTCAGTCGAGCTGACCCTATAAGCAAAAACCACGTTTGTCTCTGCCTGTGTGATGGTATACAGTATGGTTACTACTGGTCACATGTAGCTACTGAGCCCTTGAAATATACAAACAGAATGACCAGTGCTGCCAATCTAAAATACATGACATCAGAGAATAGTGCAAAGGACTTGCTGCCAAGCCTAATGAGCTACATTCAATCTCAGGGACTCACAAAATGTAAGGCTGGAACAGATTCTGGCAACTTATCGTCTGATCTCCAACAGGCATCATGGTACATGTGCAAACACACACAGCCACATTCATAAATAAAATGTAATTTTTCATTCTGTTTTGTTTTTCGAGACAGGGTTTCTCTGTGTAACAGCCCTGGCTGTCCTGGAGCTTGCTTTGCAGACCAGGCTGGCCTCAAACTCACAGAGACCCACCTGTGTCTACCTTTCGAGTGCTGGGATTAAAGTGTGCACCACTACACTCAGTTTTAAATATAAAAATTTTAAAAGCATAGTGCAGCCAAATATGATGACACACACTCTTAGTCCCAGTACTCGGGAGGTAGTGGCATATCTCTCTGAGCTGTTATGTATATAGCCACATCCAGGCCCTGTCTCAGAAAAACAAAATGAGAAGAATCTTACAAGCATGTTCAGCACTATGAGGACTGAGTGGGTGGAGGTGGACAGGGACACACACACACACACACACACACACACACACACAGAGAGAGAGAGAGAGAGAGAGAGAGAGAGAGAGAGAGAGAGAGAGAGAAAGAGTCATTTGCCTTGAGGCACCTGGCATCAGGTACCATTATGGTGCAAATATATGGTGGGGTATGGGAGAGAGAGAGAGAGACAGACAGACAGACAGACAGACAGACAGACAGACAGACAGAATAGTTCCTGTCTTGTGGAGAGACGCAGATCTGAAGAAGGGAAGGCAGTGAAGAACAGGTTGATTTGGGAGGCCTGCTTGCCACTCTGGGTCATGGTGACATCTGGTCCTGGGCTGCTGCCAAGGGTCATGTCTGGGTCCGTGGCCCTGTTGCAGCTTCAGTCTGTGTTGATGTCATGACACCTGTTACCACTGAAGCTCGTGCGGCTGCCTGGGTCTGGGCTCCACCTGGGGCCAAGTTGGTGTCCAAGGGCCCCCCAGCAGCCAGTGTGACACTGATCTGCGTGGCCTCCACTGCCACTGGGCCCACACTGCTGCCGAGTGCCATGTCTGGGTCCGTGATTCTGCTGCAGCTGGAGTCTATGTTGATATCCACTGCCCCTGTTACCACAGTGGCCCATGTGAGTCATGTGTTGAACTATGTGTTGAACCATGTGTTGAAACACGAAGGCCATGCTGAACTGACCCTGCCCCTCACTTGCATGGAGAATGCTGACCCCATCCCTCGAGGGCCTTGGGATAATGGACCCCCATGACACTGGCAGGGGAAAGCTGTCCCCCCATACACACTTCTCTCCCCATCCACACCCCACACTTGGGAAAGCTGACTCAGCCACTCACCTGATGGGGGTGTTCCAGGAGCCTGGTCAGGGCCAGAAGAACCCACTTACCACCCAGACTCTCTCTAACATCCACCCCATCTATGCCCTGCTGGAGCATGTAAACCCAGGATCTCCATGGCTCTGGAGAAGCACAGGATGTCCGAGAGGAGATTCGGTGAGGATCCAGCATTGACAGTGTACCAGAAGCCAGAGGCCTTGAGCCTGACCAACAACACATCACACAGCGAAGTGAAGTGAAGACCTGGACAAAAGGGCACCCGGCTCCCAAGCCCAAGACAAATGAAGAGGTGGCAGAGAGGCTGGAAAGACGAAGGAGCAAAATAGTTTTTGTCTTACTTGCTTTATTTAGTTTTTGTTTTGTTTGTTTTGTCTTTAATTAACATTATTTGCATTTTTATTTTTATCTTATTTTTATAAATTTTTTTTTAGTTTTCCTTTGACAGGGAACATACAAGATCCAGAGGAACTAGGAAATGAGTGGGATTGGCATGTGAAATTCCCAAAGAATCAATTAAAAAATTATGTTCATAAAAAGCCAAACAAAAAAATCAATAAATAAAGAGTATATAGTTCAGGGCTGAGGACTTCCCCACTCGATACAAGGTATATGTTAAGAAGAAGAATATAGCTGGGCTGTGGTAGTGCAAGCCTTTAATTCCTGCACTCAGAGGCAGAGACAAGATGTTTAAAGAAATTTGATTTCTAAATTTTATATGTATGAGTGTTTTGCCCACATGTATGTATGTGCCTGGTGGCATGGAGGCCAGAAGCAGAGGGTAGAAGCCAGAAGAGAGCATCAGATCCCTCTCCCCAGTCCCAAAGGTACAGGATGCTAAAAGGGAGGTGAAACATTTCACCCTTCAGAGAGGCTCCTTAGACTCGGGAAGTAAGACAATTGCTTCAGGAAGTCCCTGAAACTGACCAGACTCACAGACATCTCCCTCCCCAAACACATATGAGCAATGAAGACTGCTGAGAGATATCCCGACCACTGGGGCTGCCAGGAAAGGGCAGAGCAGCTAAGCTGACTCCAGAGAAAGTGCCCTGTAAACGTGGCTGTACGCAAGCCTATGGGACATTTCCTTAAACGGTGGCTGATGCAAGAAGGTCCAGCCCATTGTGAGTGGTGCCACTCTGGGCTGGAGGTCCTGGGTTCATAAGCAAGCGGGATGGCCAGGCAATGGTAGTGCACACCTTTAATGCCAACACTCAGGAGGCAGAGGCAGGAGTATCTCTGAATTCAAGTCCAGCCTGGTCTACAGAGCTAGTTCCAGGATGGCCAAGGCTACACAAAGAATCCCTATTTTGAGTGGGGGGGGGGGAGAAGGAGAGAGAGGAGGAATGAAAGAAACAAAGGAAAGTAGGCTATGCACGCCATGAAAGACAAGGCAGCAAGCAGTACTCCTCCATGGTCTCTGCATCAGCTGCTGCCTCCAGGTTCCAGCTCCTGCCCTGCTTGAGGTCCTGTCCTGACTTTCTTCAGTGATAGACTACAGTGTGGTAGTATAAGTCAAATAAAACATTTCCTCCCGGGTGGTTAAAATAATATTAGCTCCCATAGGTTCACATATTTGAATGCTTGGTCATCAGAGAGTGGCACTGTTTTAAAAGGACTAGGAGGTGTGGCCTTGTTGGGGCAGGTGAGTCACTGGAAGTGGGTGCTGAGGTTTCAAGAGCCCAAGCCAGATCCAGTAGCTTTCTCTTCCTGTTGCCTGCAGATCCAGATATAACTCTCAGCCACCATGTCTGCCTGCATTTAAACATGTTCCCTGCCATGAGGATAATGGACTAAATCTCTGAAACTGTAAACAAGACCCAGTTAAATGTTTTCCTTTAGGGGCTGGGGAGATGGCTTAGAGGTTAAGAGTACTGGTTGCTCTTCCAGAGGTCCTGAGTTCAATTTCCAGCCATCACATGGTGGCTCACAACCATCTGTAATGAGATCTGGCACCCTGCAAGGATACATGCAGGCAGAACACTGTATACATACATAATAAATAAAAAAATTTAAAAACGTTTTCTTTCATAAGAGTTGCCTTGGTCACGGTGTCTCTCCACAGCACAGAACACCGACTAAGACACCGGTTTCCTTTAGTCATGTGTTTCATCACAGCAACAGAGCCCTAACTAGAGTAAGGGGCAATGCACACAATCTCTATGTATCAACAATAAACACACTGAAAGAGATCGTGAACACACTCCCATTCACAATAGTCTCCAAAAAAAATAAAATAATTAAGAATAAACATAATCAAGGAAGTGAAAGACCTCTATAACGGAAACTTGAAACCACCGAAGAAGCAGATTCGGGACGACCTTTCCAGATTCCGGGACATTAATTAGAGTAGCAGGAATAACAGCATGATACTGGCACACAAAACAAACATAGAAACAAACCAAATATGCCAGGTGGTGGTGGCACATGCCTTTAATTCCAGCACTCAGAGGCAGAGACAGGTGGATCTCTGTGAGTTCAAGGCCAGCCTGGTCTACAAGAGCTAGTTCCAGGACAGGCTCCAAAGCACAAGAGAAACCCTGTGTTGAAAAAAATCCCCTCCAAAACAAAAAACTCAAACATGAGTACACATTCATCTAATAGTTGAAAACGTACACTAGAGGAAAGGTAGCATTTTCAACAAATGATACTGGGGGAAAGTGGATGTCCACATGCAGAAGAATGAGCTTACACTCAAACCTATCCCCTGGCATGATCATAGACATACATGTAAAGGGAACCAAAACACCAGAACTGCTAGAAGCAAGCACAGGCTGATCATAGAGATGCAGGTGTAGGCAAGGACTTGGAACAGGACTCTATTTGCCCAGAAGTTATGGCCTAAAGAAGAACCCCCTCCCCAAAAGCAAGGCCATAAAACAGCCCCAAGACTTCAAGAAACTTCCACCCATGGAATTCTGAGAAGCATCCAACCCCTCCTCCTACACACACACACACACACACACACACACACACACACACACAATTGTTCTTAGCCCCTAAACAGCCTATTCTCCCATAGCCTTGGATACTAAACCACAGGGGGGTTGGAGGCACCAACCACTAGAAGCAGCACAAGTCTTCTCCCACTATTTTGAGGTCTTACTATTTTCCTCTGCTAATTTATTTTCTTGTCATGTTGATGACAAGTGAGACTTCATGAAACTAAAGCTTCAGTACAACTAAGTAAACAAGTGAAGAGGAAGTCCACAGAGGAGTGGGGAGATCTCCGTTAGCTACACAGCTAACAGAGGATTAATATCCAGAAAATACAAAGAACCCAGAAAACAAAAAGTCAAGAAAACAAATCACCCAATTAAAAAGCAGTCTATGATCAGAATGGAAGAGTTTTCAGTAGAAGAAATAAAATGGCTAATAAGGTATATCTCAAAGTACTCATTTTCCTTTAGAGCTAGAACGGAAATTCATCTCACCTGTCAGAATGGGTAAAATCAGGAAAGCAACCATCAGCAAACTCTAGAGGACGTGGGAAGGTGAACCCTTTCCTGGTGGAACTGTAAACAGGGGCAGACACTATGAAATCAGTACGAGAACTCTCAAAAAGCCAAAAAAACTAAATCTACCGTATAATCCAGCTGACTGCTCCTTGGTATATGATATGACCGAAGGACTCACCATCCTATCCCACAGACACCTGCTCAGCCGCATTTGTTGCCACCCAATTCCCAATAGCTAGGCAATGGAAACCACCTGAGAGTTCTTCACCTGACGACTGGCTAATGACAACGTGGTGCATGTATACTGTCGAACTATTCTGCTGTAAAGAAAAATGAAATCATGAACTCGGGAGGTAAATGGA